GAGTTATAAATTAATTCATTATGTATCTTTCGTTCTTTTAATTTTATTTTCTAATAGGGCCATGATTAAAATTATGAAAAATATTTCCATAATTTTTGTTAGATATCTTATGCTATAGGTTTTGGGATGAGGCCTATGTCGGGACTATTGGATAAATATTGATCTACGCATGATTCCAACAAATATCTTTGTTAAAATTTTCATTGAAAAATTCAAACGAGAGTAGTAAAATTGAAATATTCGATTGAAATTCCATTGTAACATGTTTTCATTAGAATTTCATCATTTTCTTGTAGTAAAAGTATAGCTCCAAATCAAATAAAAGACTTTGCATTATAATATAATATTGTGTGCAGTTAATTATTTTGAAATTTTTTGATAATGATACAAAATATAACACACTCAATGTAATTATTATTTAATTTAAAATAGTTAGAAAATTTATTAAAAGATCTAGGTTGAGAAGTCCTTAATTATTTTATTAATATTATAATAACTGAACAAAGGGTAAGAATGTTGTTCTACGTAATAACAATGTAAGACTACACAATGATAAAGCTTATAGCTCACATTCCATCCAAAAAAAAAATAAAAATGATAAAGCTAATAAATGTCCTATACCAATTGGAGCTGACGAATGATAAATGTATATATATATATATATATATATATATATATATTTTCTGAAACGATAGAGAATTTATATAACAAACGCACAAATGTGCAAAAATACAACTTGGAACGCAACCCAAAGCTGAATAAAATGGGAGGATAGGTCTGACGGCCGCCTAGAAGCCCGACTCTAGCAAACATTAGAAACCAAAACAAGACACTAAAGACAACAACACAACAAACACAAAGAAAAACTACAATGAGAAGCTCCCAACAGGAGAATAGAGATAGAAGCTGGTCCCCACAGGATAATAAATTGCTCCCGCTCAAACTGAGGCCAACAGCTCAGACCTAAAATACAGAACATAAGCACACAGGCAAAGTGCCCAGACTTAAGACATAATATTACCACAAAAAACAACAAACACACAAAAAAACAAAGGATAAAAGAAGCCCTTCCACAACAAATCAACTGAACCAAACCAGCAGAGAACAGTCAATATCAAAGAATGATTCGAATCTAGGGAACCACTTCCGAAACTGCCACAAGGCCTATACAAAAGCCAAACCCGAACACGAACTAAACTCCGAAAACCGACCCGCCACCAACCGGAGGAACAAAAACGAAACCAACCCCACACCAGCTCTAACCAAACCCGTCTAACACCACTAGTCGAGATTGAGAGGAACCGATCCCCCACCGCCTAACACCACTAGCTGAACGGAGAACGATGAAGGTGGTTCGGCCACTTGACGTCAGCCTCCCCGATATTGAAAATGCCTCGGCATCCAGAGTAGCGCCCCAACCATAGCAACATAACTCCGCCCATCAAAACCACCAACCCTACGTCGACCAGAGCCCGAAAATCTCGTCGAAAGGTCGTGGCCTGCCAATAAGATCCCCAGCAACCCCAATCAATCCCAACACAACCAATAGACGGAAGCATACCTCAAGGGTGGCCCAAGAAGCCGGAGGATCGCCGTCAAAGATTCCGATTGTTGAGACAAAGTCCCAAGCTCTGACCACCACGACAAAATTCGTCGCAACCGCTAAGGCCCCGACCCATCCACAGACCCTCGTCCCTCCTGACGCCACCACTGACCACCGAATCCAGCAACCAACCCACAAGGCTTCGCCTGAAAAAGCAAATTCGTCGGTGGGAGGGCCGCGACGATCTGGTAGCCTTCGACAGCATCGAAGACGAATCTGCATCTGGGATGCGCTGAGCAGTTGAGGACGACCGCAGGCCCAAGTCCGCCGCCGTTGAGGAAGGCCAGACGATGGAGGATTAGAGCAACGACGCCTGGATTTTTTGGTAGAGAAAAGGGGATCGGGAGATAACGTCCTAGAAGTTACACTTTGAAATTATGTTATGTAAAACATACTTAAGATGCAGATTTATAAAAAATATATTTATTTTTGTGTATTAGAAATTGGTATGTTAGTCTTAATTTTTTAGTTAAAATTTATTTACTTTTTACCATTAATTTTTTTTAATTTTTTAATTATTTAATATTTATTTTTTTGTTGCCATTCTCTATGTATAGTATATCACATAATTTCTTTTCAATGATGTTTGATTTGACCAATATATTGTAAATAAAATAAAAATAATATAATTATTTCTATCGATTTAAAATATATATAAATACCGATTTAAAATAACACATGGACTTAAAAGTATCTTATAAAATAACACTAGATGAACTTGCGGTATATTTTTCTTACATAGATTTGAAATATTCATATTACGAAAAAAGTGCAAATGGATATGTTAAACTATTATTCAATTACTACTTGAAATGGAACACCATAATAGTTTTAAAATATATTTTTTGTGAATATAAAAATGAGTTAATTATTAAATTGTTTATCAAAGAATGGAAAAAAATTCGAAACTTTTTATTCTTATAAAAATATAAAAGTACATTTTTATCAAACATATTACTACTATCAAACATGTAAAAAAAACCGCAATAAATATAAATGTTCTTTAATTCTTTCAAAAAATATAATATTACACAGGAATAAAATAAAAAACAAATAAAACAATAGTAATGCAATGATGAAAAGAAAAAGTCTGAATTTTTTTTGAAAAGTATGAATAATATATTATTTTTAAAATTATTATTTTTTTTTTTGCTGCTAGCATTTAAATTATATGTTCTCTATAAAAAAATGGTTCTCATAAATACTGATTTCATATTATCATAACATAGACCATAAACTTTAATAATGACTTCATAATAATAAAGTTTACAGATGACTAAGAGTATCATAATATAATAGAAATCAAATTCTTTTCATATGAAATATTTTGACAAATGTTTCTCAATATTGTCTCATTGTTTTGTTTTGTTTTGTTATTGAAGAATCAGAAATGATCTTTATCTTAAAAATTCGAAGCATTATGTATGATGTAAAAAATTGGACAATATATGCATTAAATAAATTATTAGATACATAAATATTGCAAATCCGAATGAATGTGAAATGTATTATGATAGACAACTCTAAAATCATTGCAACAACCAAAATGTTCAATGATTTGCAAATAATGAGTTATGTAGTTCGTCTATCTTCCAAATAAATAACACTGAAAAGGGAATGTTTGCTTTTGATCAAAACATTTTTGAATGGTTGAATAAGTTGTCAATTTTTGTAGGAATCTTTACTTTGGAGTACATACTTTCATGTAATGTACGATGATTTCAAAAAAATAATTAGTGTCTCCAGAGAAGTACATGATTTTGGAAAGTCAACTTTTATTTACAGATGAATATCGGTGCCTTGTAAAATATAAGATACTTGTTCACAACCTAGACAAAACTGAACTAACTGTCGGAAAAGGTTGTAGTGTGATTTTTGAGTGAGTTGATCTTTGACAAACTACTTACACTAGTACAACTTGGATGTATTAAACAGGCCTACAGGAGGAAAAGATTATTATATTGACCAAGTAAATAATCTAGACCTTAGTAACTGTTGCGTTCTCTTAACCAGTAAGACAATAAACGGGAATATGTATTCAACACTTACTTATTTGATTTACCAAGGGTGAGACCTATTCTGTTAGGTTGACATACTCAGTCATTTGGTAAGTGATGTTGTTTACATGAAGTTATGTTAAGATTGTTTACGGTCATTGTATCCCGGTGTGCAGGGTTGATGACGTCCCCAGAATAAGCTCAAGAAGGATTATTATGTTAAGCCATGCAAACGGATTAGTTTTCGACATAATAATAAAGAACTGAGTGGTACTAGTTTCAGATATAGAAGTTAATTAATTATACTTTCAGTAATTAAATTAATCAACAAACGTTAGATCTTAAACGTGGAGAGGTAATTCGAGCAATTAGTTGGGAGACGAATTATTTGTAATCCAAAGCTAAATGGGGAATGTAATAATATTACTTTAGTGGAATGTTATGTGAATGCAAAATTTGGTTAGATCATTAGTTGTGGTCACACTTGTGAGCCCATATTTAGCTCCTTAGGGTCCCTGTTGTAGCCGATACACCAAATTCCAAAGTCTCTCAAACATCAATTCACACGTGAGGTCTCCTTTTTGAGAGAAAATTAATGAGTTTTTTAAGAGGCTCGGGAGTTTCGTTTGGTCGCACCACCAATAGTACTCATAGAAGGTGTAGATGTCATACAATAGAAGATCGTAAGGTCTCATTTTCGCATCCCGACGTATATATATTTTCACGGGGCTTGTCCGATCATGATGAAACTTGGAGAGGACGATCTCCGACGACAACCAAATTCACTGATGTGATCATCGCAACCAGCCGCAGTCACCGGACCACTGCCGCAGACGCAACCGCAGCGTCGCGCCCCAACACCCGATGCATGCACGCGGACGATGCCAGCCGCAGCAAACACACGCAGCAACACGACGCGAGCCACACTTAAGCAACAAAGTGATGCGCACACCAGCGACGAACTCAACGATATCGACGCGCATGACCTGCGATCCCGACGAGGCGACCGAAAGACTTGACGAAGAGCAACGAGGAACGTGGGCTCAAGGACGCATTTCATAACCGTTTGTCCAGCCCTGCAGGCTGTGTAAGTAGTCTCAGAGTCGACAATTGTTTTAAACGGTAAGTTCAATCTTAACTATAGATTCCATTGCGTTAGAATGTATTTTAATGATTTAAATGTACGACGATGTTCCTCATAGAACCAACAAGTGGGAAGGGGAAGACGATGCCTAGAGGGACGAGCCTAGGTCTAGACGGCACCGTGGCGACGTATAGGAAAACTGATCGAGAGTTTACTTGGAAAAAAAGTTTTTTATTTTTTGTTTTTTTAGTTAATACGCGAAAAATGAGAATTGGTAATTTTATTTTTATTTTTATTTTTCCTTAAACCCTATAGTAGCAGCATCGCATCCAGATTTTGGGCAAAGCCATTTCTTCGTACTTAGAAATGGTTGCTCCACTCCTCCGCTCTCTGTGGTCCAACGCCGCTAGAAAAACCAAATCTTCTTCGTCTTCCTCTAATTATCTGAGACCCCTTTCATTTTCACGCGTAACGGGCTTCACGAGGTCTTTCTCCTCGACCACTGCCGCTGCCTCGTCACCGTCGGCTGCGGATGCTGGAGCCGCTGTGGATCCCAGTAGGCTCCGGAATGTCGCTGTAATAGCTCACGTTGACCATGGAAAAACCACTCTCATGGATAGGCTCTTGCGCCAGTGTGGCGCCGATATTCCACACGAGCGGGCCTTGGATTCGATCAGCCTTGAGCGCGAGCGTGGAATCACCATAGCCTCCAAGGTTTTGAAAATTCGCTTGTTTTTCGATTGTATGCCATTTTCTTCTTCATTTCTCTAGACCTACCAAAACGTGGGCGATTAAAGATACAATACCGATGGTTCTCTTTCTTCATTTGTTCCATTATTTTGTAGCTTAATGCGTTGTATTTTTGTTTCTAAAGATGATTTATTGCATCTGTTATTTTATTGTACACCACAAAACTACTACAAGATGGTCTCGTATTTACTGTGCGTGCTAATTTCATACTTCTCTAAACTTGTGTCACATAATGCAGACAATTTTATTTTTCAAGTATGACCTTCGACACTGATTTTATTTTTTAAGAATATGACCTTTGATACTCAATGTATGCATAATTGCTTAAATAGTATGACCGCATGTAAAATTTCAAAAGACTGTCTGATAGTAGAATTAATGATGTTCCGCATTCCTTCTCCTGTATGTTCATTTACCTTCTTACAGATATAAGTAGGCAATCAGAAGTCATATGCTCTGAAGTGAGTTTTATGTATGCCCTTTAATTCTTGATATTGGAATGATTTCCACTGGCAGTGATGATAAAAAGGCCGGACTTACGGCTGCTACTATTTGGTTGGTAGTAGATTGATGAGTTTTATGTAAGAGGTATATGCTTCTGAGCCAGTGCGTATGATGGTAAAACTGAATTGACTGCTGTGTCAGCTTTTGTGTTCATTATCAAACCAGAATTTATCTTTCAATTAAGAATTCCTAAATCACCGTGCTAGTTAAAGCATTGGTTCCTCTTGACTTTATGTTGCAATAAGAATATTAACATAATGGGTAAAAGTTCTTGAGGTCAAAATTTTTAACCTTTTTCTGAAGTCATTGTTTATTTGACAGAACGTGTAGTTACGTAAATAATCAAGTATGATTGAATTATAACGTGAAATACGTCTTTAATTTGGTGTCAGAATGCATTTTGAGCATCTCATTCGTATTTCTATTCATAACTTGCAGGTCACATCTATTTCATGGAAAGGAAATGAGCTAAACATGGTTGACACTCCTGGACATGCTGATTTTGGTGGTGAAGTAAGCTTTTATTAATATAATTTATATATCTCTAATTTATCTTTCTTAAAGGAGTTCTAAGTTATCCAGTTAGGGGTTTGAAGAAATATGAAGCTAACCAAGTGTCTTTGGAGCATTTACTGTATGGTGGTCTTATTATAATTTATCTATTGAGCTCATATGTGAGTCACTTAGTTAAGACGTTAGGAAATGGATAACAAGTTATCCATCTGTATCTTTGTTTTAACTCTGCTCATGTTGCTGTGTTAAGGAGCAATTTATAAAATGAATCTGTGCTTGTAGAACCTTTGAATATGTAACTATCCAAATATTCTTCATTGAAGCCAGGGGTGGCAAAAACACTGAATTTTCCCGAACTGAAATGGTCCCGTTCCAAAAAAAGAAGGTTTAGAAAGGTTTTCTTTATTTTTGTACTGTTCCCGGTACCAAACCGTTTTAAGCAATGTCGGTATCAGTTTTGAATATTTTTGTCACTGATCATCCCATTTAATTACTTTGTACAAAATATTATATATATATGTATATACATTCATATATATATATATTATACATTATTATTATAATTATATTAGTATTATAGTATTACACAATTAATAATATGTCTATTATTCCATTCTGTCTGTGATTTTGGCATTTAGCATTATAAATATCTAGTATAAAAAGTCCAAAACTAAACAATCTAAATTGATCCAAACCGCAAAATTTAACGAATAAACAACCTAATGTCATTTTGATTGATTGACCCATATGTGTCTAAGTCAAAGCTGAGAAGAGATTGAGAGTGCGAGGCTTCACTTCACTCCTCACATTTAAGACTTTCACTTGGCAGAAAAACAAACATTGAATTTGTGAGCTTTTGGTTTAGGTGAAGTAACAAAAACATAAAAGCCAACGTAATTTGCTGAATATTTGTTATTTGATGATCTTGTTTTTCAGTTTTAATTTTCTACTTGAAACAAATATTATTGTTATTATTTTCGTCCCTTTTGTCCCTGTTCCGAACTGTTTTGTCCTGGTCATGGGACAAGCCAAATCCCGGACCGCCCCCACCCCTACAGTAGAGTGAAGGACAATTTACTTCTATATATGGTTAAATTTTGTTCTCATAATTCAGGGACATTGATACTCGTATCTCATTAATTGGAAACTTTAATGAACCTGATTTATCTGAGCTTATTGCTCATAAAAAATATAATTGGTTACTATAATTTTCTTTTCATAAATATATATCAGCTTCAAGGAAATTCAGGTTCACCTTCTAGCTTTTAATCTTCTCCCTTGTAGGAGTATAATTGTTGTTTCTTGTGAAATTCAACTGAACTTTATAAAATTATCGTTTTCTAAAATCTATTAATGGACTGCAATGATATCCTAGCTGTTGCTTTTCAAGTCATTAATACATTGAATGTGTTCATTTTATGTATTTTCTTTTGTTAGGTTGAACGAGTTGTTGGCATGGTTGAGGGAGCAATTTTAGTTGTTGATGCTGGTGAAGGTCCCCTGGCACAGACAAAGTTTGTTCTTGCAAAGGCCTTAAAATATGGTCTGCGTCCTCTACTTCTTTTGAATAAAGTCGACCGACCTTCAGGTATGACCGTAAATTTAGTTTATGGTAGTGTAGTAACTAGTAATTCTTATGACGTGAGAAAAAAAAATATGAAAGCATGTAGTTATCTCAATGCATTATCTCAGACGGAAAGATCTGCTAGTTTGATATATATTGTCTATGTAATAAGAATATAAGCTGCATACCTATTTGTCCAAAAAATCGTTGGAAAACAAAGTTGAATAGATGGAGCATGATATCGAAAACTTCAGCTGTTTCTCTGGTGTTTACCTGCAATCCAGTGCAATCCAGTTCCAGTGTAACTAACTCTGATTATATCACAAACCAACTACATTTAGGGTGAGTTTGGTTACTTTTATTGATTGGGCTTGATTAATTCCCACAAAAAAAAAAAAAAAAAAAAAGGTGTTATCCATTGGATAGAAGAACTCTATTAACTTGTTTGGTTGATAGTGATAAATATAACATTTAAGGTGAGATTACATTTTCGCCCTTCATTTAGAATCAAATTTTCAAATGCTTCACCAATTCAAAATTCACCTTTCTTCACGAAATTTGCATATTCAAAAAACAATTTCAATCTAGCATTTACCACATTATGATTAACCCAACATACCACTAATTCATCTAGACAACTAATTGCCCTCTCATAGATCCAAAACAAAATAAATTTCTCCAACCTTATCTTTCCCCTCAATTTACAAATTGAACTCAAGATTTTTTTTCTTAAAAGAAATAGGGAAATTGGGCGTGCAAGGGACACNTAAAAAAAAAAAAAAAGGTTCCCTGCTTAGTGCTTCCCAATCAGTCGTTTGCACTCAGAAATTAAAGCGACATTGCACTCAGAAGCAAACGGGACGCCATTGCACTCCCCGTCACTCATTTGCTTCCCCGTTCGGCTAGAGGCACTTTATGATTTTTCTTTTTATTTTTTTTAAAGAAAAGAAGAATATAAAAAGACTGAAGTAGAAGAAGGGAAGGCGTGTGCGAAATTAAAGAAGAAGATTGGGAATGGTGAAAAGAGTAATATGGGTATTTTGGAAATTTTAATTATTTTATGATAAATGATAAAGCATCCCACCAATTTTATGGGATACGGTAATAACATCTAAAGTGATATTGGTACGGGCCTAACTTAATTTTCAGGGCCGGGAAGTGTACAACCAAACAACTTAATCTTCTTGATATAATAACAAATAGTGTGATATCCTACCCAATAATCCCAACCAAACTGACCCTTATTGGAGTTGATTTCTAGTCCCTGACAAAGTGAGAGGAAGCACCCACAGAGTATCAAATTAAGTACTTGATCAGCCTGAGAGTTGGCTGAAATAATTATATGATGCTCCTAAACTATGGTTGTGATAAACTTGTTCTCTATAAGTCCTGAAGATTGAAACCACATTGAATAATTTAGTATTACACTTGACATTCTAATTTAGAAAGTGTTTTAAATATTTTGCAATTTCTAATACCTTGATCTTTTTGTTTTCTTTGTGACATGGAAGTGTGTGCTGTGTTTAATTGTCCTTTCGGGGTTTGTATGTGTAGTTACTGAAGAAAGGTGCAGTGAAGTTGAGAGCCTGGTATTCGATCTTTTTGCTAATCTTGGTGCCACAGGTGCTTGGTGTTAATTTTCATTAGCCTAATTTGGTTTATGCAATCACTTGAATCCGTTATAATCTTTCTCATACACATTCGTTCTAATTTTTATTTATATATCTTTCTTAGAGGAACAATTAGAATTTCCTGTTCTTTATGCTTCTGCAAAGGAAGGGTGGGCCTCTTCGACATATACAAAAAGTCCTCCTCACGATGAGAGGAATATGTCTGAGTTACTTGATGCAATCGTGAGACATGTTTCACCCCCAACTGCTAGCCTTGATGCACCTTTTCAGATGCTGGTTAGTCGTGGAAATTTACTTATTGCTTCATATCTGTCAGTGTATGCATAATTGTCAGAATTTATATGTATGCTCTTTCTTGCGAAAACTTGCATTGTAATGAATGATCCATGATACATGATGACCGCGCGTCACGACACGGCAAATTTAAATTTATAAAAGTTTTCCTTAACTAACCTCTACTAACTAGTAGTAGCGGCGAGTAAGGGTCGATCTTACGAGGAGCAGGAATTAAATTGTGACTATTCTCGTATTAATCGAATTAAAACTAAGAAAGCACTAAAGAGGGGGGTTTGGTTTTATAAAAATAAAAATAACAAAATAAAGTAAAATAAAATAAGGCTCCGTTTGTTTTGAGGGATTTATCGAGGGATTTGAAATCCATAGATTTCAAATTTACAAGTTCAAATGCTCATGCATGTTGGGATGATAATAAAAGTTGGAGGATTTCAAATTCATGCTAGATGTTTTTTAGTCATTATTTTGAAGGATTTGAAATGACTCATAAAACCTAGTCATTTGAAATCCACTGTTTATCACCGTTGACGAGCACGCCGTCCGCGATCATTTAGGTTCATCACCACCGCGAGTCAACACCATCGGTGCGAGCTAGACAATCTATTTATAATATTTTCAACACATCCATTTAAGGAGTGTGCAAGTAAAAAAAATTATATTTCAAAAATTTTGAAATCAAGGGATTTCAAATCCCTCAAAACAAACGGAGCCTGAGAGAAATTCCAGTTTTCGGTTCAGTTATCACCCAATCTAAATTTACCGTTAATTAATTTCGATGCCTTCTTTAAATTGCCGATGAATTACCAACCCTAGCTAACAATAAGCTCTGTTAACCGAATTTCCCTTACCGAATATTTAATCGAAATAGGCTCTTCGACTAAACCTAACTAGCAGACAACCTAGAATAAACTCTCTAGATTTAGTGCACTAGCAGCATTAATTCCTAGGAAAATAGATTAGTCTAAGCAACAGACGCAAAAACTCGGTCCATTTAACTTATGTTCACGCTACCCTAGAGATGCACGACCCTAGTTTACTACTAACGGAATGAGACAATAACAATTACGGATTAAAGTCTCGGATCTAGCAATTAAACTATGAACATTCAACGTAGCTGACCAAACTAAATCAAATACTCATAATTCATAAGCATTAAACACAGATAACATGAATCAACTCATCAACAAAAATAAATACGGCGTTTCAATTAACCAACGATAAATAAAGATCAATCTAGACAAATCGAATTAGGGTTCAAACATCCCCAAACTGGATAAAAATAACTAGCCTAGCATACTAATAGAAAAAATAGAAGATAAAAGAGAGAGAATAAAGTCTCCCTTGTATGCGAGTGCGGCTTCCCTCCGCGTGTAGTCTCCTTTCTCTCAGTTCAGTCTCTCACTTTTTCTCTCGTGTGTTCTCGCAGTTCGTGTGTTTATTTTCTTGTGCGGCTTTTCTTTCTTCGTGCGGCTCTCGACCCTCTGTTATTTTTCTCTCCGTTTCTCGTAAAACTAATTCTCCCCGTATGTGACTCACGCTGCTGTGTGTTTATTTCCGCAAATAATTCCTCCCCAAAGATCTGTGCGTTTCCCAGGAAATTAACAACTCTCCCAAATCTAATTATCAATTAAGTCTTTGTCCTCAATTCTCCATGGGTTATGCCACGTGTATCAACCCATTTATAAGCTAAATTGCTTTCAATTTATTTCCATGGTCAAGTTGTGGGCCTTAGTTGATCCAGTATTGAAAGGCATTATAACGGCTCACGTGAATTTCCGTCCAATGCTTCGCGTCTATAAAATACTCCCAAAATACTGAAAATAATACAAAAACCTCAAATCAAATAAATCCATCCAAATAATAAATAGGTCGATAAATATGAACGTGCGAATAAATTAAGTATATAAAAATGTACTATTAAACATATAAAACGTGCACATTTTTCGACGAAGATTATGTTTAATTGCATTCATTATGCATTATGCGAGAGCACTTTATTTTCCAAAATCTCTCCCCGATGTCTTCTATGTACAAGGTATTGATATTCAGAAATTAGAATGATACTCAAACCTAATCTATGACTGTTGTTTAAGAACCTAAGCTGCATAGTGCTTTTAATGAAACTCTTGATATTATTATGCTTCTCAATTTGTTGGCTTCAGATAAAAGAATGGTGCATTCATCACTATTTGCAAAGCCTAGCTAGTTTAATTGGTAGATAGGGTTTCGGACTATGAAAATCAATTTGACTTGTATGATTTCACCTTTTAGAAAAGTGGAACTTCGTGAAAGTGGTTGACAGCTCCTTTCAGGTGTCTATGATGGAAAGAGATAATTATGTTGGTCGAATTCTAACTGGCCGTATCTATTCTGGGATTCTCTGCGTTGGTGATAAAGTGCAAGGACTTCAGAATACTGATTCCGGGGTTGTCAAAATTGAAGAAGGGAAGGTTAGTGGTCCTGAAGCTTGTAACTTGTCGTTGTTTCTCTATGTCAAATGTTTCATAAAGTTCTCACTGGAACTAATTTGCTGCGGTTAAAAATGCACTTGTCATTCTTGTTAGTGATGATGTTTGCAAAAATGAATTTAAGTCTAATCCGTTACTGCATATTCTATTTATTTCTGTTCTTTTTTTGGAATTTGGGTGGGAAGATAAGGAAAGGGTTATTAATGTTGCAGCTGGGATCTGACTTTTTTCTTTAAGTTGATTGCAATTTTCCATGAATTTTGTAAGAAAGTTTGCATGGTGCAGTCTGGAAAACAAAAGTTTAGAAACTTGACTACTCTTATCTTTTTGGGAACCCTGATTAAGGTGCAGAGATTTCTTGTCTGCATAGAATATGTATTGTTCTGGAGTTGAAACACATTTTCATTTTTAAAGGGCAAAGTCTCGTATAAAATGGCTTTACCATTAGCTCAAGCATATTTCTCCCCCGGAAAGAAAGAAGATAATATTGTAGTAAAATAAATGCGTGCAGATTGAACTCCTTGAGTACCTTATTAGTCCGGAAAGTTATGGTGAACTGTGGAGAAGTCTATAGAAGCTTGAGTAGAAGGTTTCAGGGCGATTGGATACAAATTATTATTTTTCAGTTTTGTCTCGCCCGATAAATTTTCACTAAAACTACAATTAATTACAAAATGTTACCCGACAAGTTTACTATTCATTTATTCCTACTTTTTCTTTCTCATTACCACAATTAAAAAAAAAAAATTATAAGCAATCATTACTGCCCATCTTCCAACAAAATTCACTATTCATTCATGTTTTTAACAGCCAATCATATACAATCATTATTTTACTGTTTTTATTATTATATTACATCAACTTTAATCATTACATTTTATCTCATATCTATTCACAATCTAAAAAAATAATACATTCGTCTATCCAAAAACTTCTTTATCATTTTTTCATCTCTTTTTCCATTGAGATGATTTATTTCAAAATAATCAGCCATAAATTTTCTTGCATCTTTTTCTGTGCTTTTCATCATAAACTGAAAGTGCTAGGATTTTTTGTTTTAACAGGATGGACAATTGAAATGTTTATTATGCAGCTCTTATTTATTTATTTATTTTTTAAATTCTCTCTCTCTCTCTCTCTCATCCCTACCTTGGGCTTGCATAATTTACTATCAAACCCATTTGTGTCTGCAATCTGGTAAGCTTAAAGTATGATTATCCACTTTGTCGCTTGGGAGTGGTTTCTTGACTGGAGGTTGGGGTATTGACAGCCTTTAATATACTTACTGTGGGGGATTTTGTGTTGGTGCAGGATAGAGGCATTTTTGTGTTATTGAAAAGTTAACATGCTTTGCAAGATAACAACTGAGATGCAGGTTTAGCAGTCAGAGCGAAATATTGGAGTTGATCAGTCAGCCTCTCTTATAGGGTGGAAGTAACATGAGTTTGTGGGAGGATGCATGGGTGGGAAATACTATTTGATGAGTAAATCTTCCCCTAATGCTATTGCCTTTAAACCCCAACAACCCGTTTATTCGTCTATTTAATGGAACTTACATTATCACTATTACTATGAGATAAGAAATCCATTCTTAAATACCTGCTATTATTGAAATTGTTTGATTGCCATTTTGGAATGACCATATCTAGGATATTGTGCTGCTAAAAGGATGTGGTGTTTTTAACCTCTGGTTCTTACAAGTGTTTTGTTTGTGAATAGGTGACTGTGATGGTTAACTAGTCCACTGTCATTGTTGTTGATTATCAATGTTCTTTTATGCTTTTGTAGGTTGTGAAACTGATGAAAAAGAAGGGCACAAATATTGTTTCAGTTGATAGTGCAGGTGCTGGTGATATAGTGTCCATGGCAGGATTGACTAGTCCAGCAATAGGTCACACGATAGCAAGTGCTGAGGTACATGGATACTTGCACCTTTTCCGTTCACTGGGAAGAACATCATGTGATGCAGTATTCTTAGACAAATTAGGTGTATTCTTATATTTCTTCTCTATCAGTCAAATTTCAGGTTATTGACCAAGTTGCCTTCTAATTTTGAGTTAGTTTCTCTTGGGTTTGGAGCATCTGAAAGACTTCCCCAACCAAATTTTTTTAGCTCTCAGCACTTCAAATATGTGACCTCGTTGGTGTCATTTCTGATGGCCTATTTTTTTGTTTTTTGCCCAGTCTTAATAAATGAAATCTTGTTTGTTAATAATTTTTGTCATTGAGATTTTTCATTTTCAATTTCCATTTTTAGCACTAGCTTACATCACTTCAGTCATATATTCATCTTTGAACATGTAGGGTGCTTTATAACAGCCCCCTATCTGTATGTATCTGATTGGATCCACCACAATCTTATTTGTTGTATATTACATATTCTGATTAAACTAATGAAAATGGAACTTGCTCCTAAGAACTTTCGAATAGTTGTATACACAAAAGCTACTCCAAAAGTTCCCATCTAAACATCAATTTGATTTTCACTAAAACCTATATTTTCTTCAGATTTGTTTTCCAAAATTAGAAATTTGGACTATGGAAATATAACCATGCCAGATGTATACCTTTCCGATAATAGTTGTTAATCTTCCTTTTCAATAAATTGGTCCAATGCTTCCTGTTCGAAGTTGTGTTTGTTTATTTGTCCTGCACGACCAAGTTGCTGGGCTATTATTGTGCATAAATGTGGGTTGGGCATCTTCTCCCTTTGAACTAGTCTTTGAGATGACTGTCAGGCTCATTTATCACGGTGTTGAAGTCTTTTTTTTTTTACATGTAAGGATGGTGTTAAAAGTTGTTTTGTGTTGATCCCACATCCCCAAGTTACTTTAGCTGTTATTGTGTACAAGGTTGGGTTGGACACCCTCTCCATTTGAGTTATCCTTTGTAGTTGAGTTCTACTCATCCGGACCCATCTATTATTATTTTTCAAGAACATCACAATTCACCACTGTTGAGAGAGGATAAGTCCTGCAGCAAAGGATAAACAATTACATTAATCTGACAACCATGTGCTTGTAGCGCACTTATTCATGTGGAACAAAAAGAAAGCACTTTATGTGCTACTTTTATGTTGGAAATGATTCTGTTTATGTTCTTAGTTAGTAGACATCTTATCATCATTGAACATTGTAAAACTTCTATGTGGTGCCACTGGTAGGTCATGACAGCTCTGCCGGCCGTTGAGCTTGATCCCCCCACCATTTCGATGACTTTTGGCGTAAATGATTCACCGTTGGCTGGTAGAGATGGTACTTACGTAAGTTTCTTTCTCTCTCCTTTTTTTGTTTCTTTTTTTTTTTTCTTCTTTTACATATGTTATTCAGAATTTCATCTTGTCTGTGGTCCTTTTAGATTTAGTTCCTGAGCTTTGATATGTATTAAGCTGCTTCTCTCAAGTTACATGTAGGTGAAGTCAAAAAGAAATTGCTGATGCACTTATTTTGTGTCTACTTCACCTCTTTACGCTTGTCCTTTCTGATTTGCACTGGCAGCCTCTTTTGTTGCATTTAAAGAGCTCTCATAACAACTACTCTTAGTATTTTGACCTCATTTTTGTTTCTCTTTGGATGTTTATTATATTTCAGCCCTGGTCATTACATTTTCATCGTCAGTGTAGCCATGCTTTTCCCAACTTTATTTTTCACCTCATCCAATCAACATTTGCTAGGCACAATGCTTGTAAAGTGTCTAATTCATCCAACAATATGGAAACATGATATTTTCTGCCCTGGAATTATGTTGCTCATATGCTCTTTACTTAAGTTCCATTCAGATGCTGATATTATTCTGTTCAATATAAAATAAATGAAGCTGACAGGAAGACAAATAGGGGATCGGCTTATGGCTGAAGCTGAAAGAAATCTTGCAATCAATGTGCTTCCTAGTATGTCAGAATCTTATGAAGTTCAAGGGAGGGGAGAGCTTCAATTGGGTGAGTCTTTTTTATCAGATGCATTTCTAAATAGTAAATATATCTATTTTCCTTGGAATTTTAGTTAATTATGTCATATTGCAAAAAAGCTCATCTGAACAGTTGCATCTTTTATCCTTGAACCAATTTCTTTTGTCTACAGGCATCTTAATTGAGAACATGAGGCGTGAAAAGTTTGAGCTTTCAGTCTCACCTCCTAAAGTGATGTGAGTCTTTCCTTTTAGCCGATGTCTTGTGCAACTTTCTCTTCTAGCCATCTCATTTCTTGTTTGATTTTACGCAGATCGATCAAAGTAGCCATTGTTCTTTGTCTATGCATATTTTATTGCCATTTTTTCAGAAACATCTGTTTTTGCCATTTCCCAATGGGGAAAAAAAAGGACTTTAGGAAATGATCATTTCAGAAGATTTTTAATTCAACATAAAATGGTGATCTCCCGTCAGGAGATGTTAATGTCCAAGAAAGATTTGATTTTTTTTTTTTTTTTTTNTATTTTTTTTTTTTTTTTTTTTTAATGGCTAATTAAACATTGGCTTTACATAATGGCTAATCATTTCCAGGAGTCTGGCCTTCTAGTCGTTGGGGTTAGCTAATCTGAAGTACTGTGCTTGTCTTCTGTCCATATTCTGATAATATGGTTTTTCTGCTTATGTATTTTACAATTTTTTTGTCCATTGCAAATGGAGCTGGAAGAGTCATTGTTGACAATTCTCCTGGCATAGTGCTAATAATGGACTAGATCAAAATGGCTCAATTAAATTCTAGTGCTTCTTCTATTAGTGAAGTTTCTAGAAAAAAAAATATATATCAAACGGCGCAATGCACCTTGGGTCGCTACGGAAACAGCCTCCTTGTTTAATTACAGGGGTAAGGTCTGCGTACAACTGACCCCCCAGACCCCAACCTGTTGGGAATATACTGGGTATGTTGTTGTTGTTGTATTTTACAATTTTTTTAGGAAAACCTAAACCATGTTGTTCATTATGTGCTTTTCAACATCTTCGCCAGCTGGTCATTTGATTTGAAACATCTAATAATTTCACATGCCCTAATTGGACCAGATCAAGCTATTGTATGGCACAATTTTAGATGTGAATCACTTTAGGCATTATGATTCACAAAGTAATTTACTTGTAAGTCGATTCTATTTTAAGAGCTGATTAACTTTTATATTTAAACAGGTATAAAACAGAAAAGGGACAAAAGCTGGAGCCAATTGAAGAAGTGACTATTGAGGTATTAGCTCTGAAGCAAATTTAATACATCTCCGGACTTTCAGAATTCAGTAGTGACTTGTCTACTTAACTTTTTCATACCAGGTCAATGAAGAGCATGTGGGTTTAGTTATGGAAGCTCTTTCTCACAGGCGAGGTGAGATTACAGACATGGGTCCAGTACCTGGCAATATTGGTAGAACCAGACTTTGTCTGACTTGTCCTTCTAGGTACTTACCACTTTCTCATATATGTTCTCAACTTTTTGGTTTTGAGTTTTCTTGTTAATTGTCGGGGAAAAAACTATTACCAATCTGAACTACTGCATTTTTAACAACTACCATGTAAACATTTTTTTGACTATCCCCCATACAAAGTATCCAGCATTCGCTATTAACAGCGCTATCCCAAATTTATAGTAAATTATAAATCCTTATGTCTAGTTTTAAGGGAATTTTAGTCCAATACATTTTCTCTTCAAATGTGAAGGGCGTAAAACACGATATTCGGGATGGTCATGTCGTTGTCTATGCCTTCTTAATTTAGCTAACTAATGTATGCTGATTTTTGTTACTTCCATAGGCTTGAGTTTTCATATTTTACTTGCTTATTTCCTGATTTGATTCACTTTCCTTTCAGCTTTTATTGTATACAATATAACCAAAATGAGAATTTTCAGCGACTTTTTTTTATCCCATTTATCATGTGATGGCAGGGGTTTGGTTGGTTATAGAAGTGTGTTCAACAGCGATACACGAGGAACCGGATTTATGCACCGTGCCTTTCTGGGTATGCCTTTCTAACCACTAATACAACTCTGCTATTGTTGTTTTTTCTCTCTCTTAGATAGATCAATCTTTTAACTTGATGTTTCTAGCTCTAATTTCAGAAATGAATGCATAAACATCTGAGTTCACTTTTTACTTGACATTGTGATTAGAACCACTTGCTATTATTTGATATTTATACAAGGGGCTTTTATTGACTTCAAAGTTCAAATTGTAATTATAAGGTTTCCAAGTCCTATGCTGTTATTAGTGATACTTTCCTCCGCTGACCATTTGCTTGTTTTTCTTTTGCCTTGTACTTTTATGTTTAACGTTACTTATTTGTGTAAATGTTGTTTGTGCAGCTTATGAGAAGTATCGTGGTCCTCTTGGAAATGTCAGAAAAGGAGTATTGGTACAATGACATATCGACTTTATTGATGTTGCTGTTCCTTTATTATTGTCTATCTTATGACATATCATCTTTGTGTGAACTTTTCTATACATGCTATGTTTTGTGCTGCCAGAAGCTACTTCATTTTGCATCATTATATTTTTTGAAAAATGGTACATGTACATAATAAATGTACATAGAGGTGTACATAACACTCACATGGAGTGGGGTCCACTTGATTTTTTATTTTTGGTAGGCCCCACTCAATGTGAGTGTTATGTACATTCCTATGTACATTATTATGTACCTATAGCATTTCTCCCCACAATTCTCCCCAATATCAATTGACAACCAATCTATTCATTCCAAATTATTGCAATATAAAAGGTAATAAGAAAGAAGAGAAACAAGAAATAAAGGGCTTATTGATCAGGATCCCATTAGTTAAGCAGCCATAAGCTTGATTAGTTACAGGATCTGAGAATCCCATAATTTCAGCAGCTAGTAATAACATTAATTTATGCCTCTAGAAATTAATTATGTAGTCACATTAAATTATGTTTCCCATATTTATTCCTTTGAATTTAAGTTCTATCAGTATCTGTCTGTACACTGCAACATCGAATTGTTTGCTTCTCTCTATAGGCGTAAATTGGAAATTCGGATTGGTAATTTAGAATTAGCCTAAGTGGCAGTGACATTATTACTATTGACAGTTCGTACATCCCAATATGTTGCTCTGTCACCGCACATATTGGTCCCATTCCACTCGTGTCTAACATTGTAATACGTAGTTCTCAACTACTTTATAATTATATCTTATAGAGCTACTCATAGAAAAACAGATTTTTCCCCCGAAATGTATCTGGAACACCTAGCTGCTCATGTGCCCCCCCAAAAGAAAAAGAAACAAATAAAATAAAATATAAGACTTGAGTTGCTCTACAATAATGCTGGAAAGCAAATATCAGTTTGTTTGCCTCACTTTGCTAGAAATGCAACTGAAGGTGTATGTAGTTTTTTGTTACATGATAGTGAATGTAAATCCAAGTCATCTATTGTTACTCGTAGTTCAATTTTAGGCTTAAGTTTGTCATTTAATTATTGATCAAGCAGGTTTCAATGGGATATGGCACCATCACTGCTCATGCATTGATGAGTCTAGAAGCTCGTGGAATACTTTTTGTCAAACCAGGAATGGAGGTGATTCTGATCGCACTCTTGTTCTAGAGGGCATTGTAGATGGAGAGACTTCGTATTTTCCATTTCCTAATGTTTTTTGTTGATTGGATTAACATCTTTCAATTATATATCATTTACTTGCAGACCTATGATGGAATGATTATTGGTGAACATTCACGAGACACGGATCTGGATGTAAGGAGATAATATTTTACTCCATTTTTGCAAGTTTTCTCCTTCTTCTTCTTCTTATGAATAACATCAATTATTGCTTGTTTCAGGTCAATCCAGTGAGAACTAAGGAGCTAACCAATGTCCGTGCTGCCTCCAAGGATGAGAATGTGAAGCTAACTCCTCCTCGCCTTGTACGTGCTCTAATTCAATTTTCATTTCTTCCTTTTTTTTTCCCACAATTTCTTAGGTGTAGATGTTATGGGAGTACAAAAGAAATTAAATGCATAAACTTCTATTATACAATCCTCTTAAGATTCTCTCCACAGCAGAAATACATGAATCTTTTGGTGTTTGCTGCTGGGAAATATCTATGAACTATCTTGGTGTTTACCCTTACATGTATTTTTTTGTGAGACGTGGAAATAAAATGTTCTGAATCACCTGACATTTTTGCGTTTCTTGTAGATGACCCTTGAAGAAGCAATAGGGTATGTTGCATCTGATGAGCTAATTGAGGTATGCTCGTTTTCGTATCTTATTTGTTCTATTCTTGACGAGAGGAGCAATTAGAATTATTGTATAAGAAATTTTTGAATGGGCTGTGCAGGTTACTCCTAGCGCAATTCGGTTAAGAAAGAGATATCTGGATGTTAATAAGAGGAAATCAATGAGTAAAAAACCAAAGCAGTGATATTTTTGAAGTACAATTTGGTTGGATAACATCTCAGCTTCTACCGCCAGAACGTACAACTTTTACAGTTGTATTATTTATGGATAGTGGTTCTTGGAACCATTACAGTTTCATAATATTGTCTCATCATTCTATTGTTTTTCAGTCAGTATTATATTTGCTATTTATTAATTTGAGATTACTTGCGAATATTTAATTCTGATTATTATTTTATTTTTAATTTTTTTTAAGGTGCCGTATGGGTATATGGGTAGCTCAGGTGTAGCTGGAAACCTACTGGACCAATTCTCGGAAAAAAAATAATGAAAATAAAAACGATTTTTTTCTTTAAATAAAAATTCAAATAAAAAGTGGACAAAAAGAAAAAGAAAAATTAAAATGTAGACCAAAATTAAAAGGTTGTATTTTAAGAATACGTTTTACAATGTAAAACGTATTTCAATAATACGTTTTATAAATAAAATTAATTTTATAATTTATATTTAATTTTAAAACATATTTCGAAAATATATTTTATAAATTAAATTAACTTTATAATTTATATTTATTTGTAAAACGTATTACGGTAATACGTTTTGTATTTAATTAATTGTAAAATGTATTACCGTAATATGTTTTAAAAAAAAATAATTATTTATATTTAATTTTCTTCATTTTTGACTATATATTAGCTTATTTAATGAGGCGACTTCGGGTGTTCCGTTGGGTCTCGATAAGCGAGTCGAACATTAACGAAAAGTGCTTTCGAGAAAACACGAGAAGAGAAGAAGCCGTTTATGGCATCAATTTATTATTTCGAGGTCCCGATCATTTATTTAAAGAAGCTCAAGTTCGAGGGTGCATATTAGTAAAATAAATGAAAAAACTGTTTACGTGAGTCCCGCAAGGTTGCGTGTGACTTCGGTTTACCGAGAATCGAGTTGGGATGTGTAGATAATTCAGGCACGATGTAATGCGGGGCATTTATCGAGTATTTTGGAGTTCCGAGCATTTAATTAGAGAAACTTGAATTCCCGTCGGAATAGTAACAAAATAAGCGAGAAGAGGAGACTTCGGGTGTTCCGTCGGGCCTCGATAAGCGAGTCGAGCATTAACGAAAAGTACTTTCGAGAAAGCACGAGAAGAGGAGAAGCCGTTTATGGCATCGATTTATTATTTCGAGGTCCCGATCATTTATTTAGAGAAGCTCGAGTTCGATGGTGCATATTAGTAAAATAAATGAAAAAGCCGTTTACGTGGGTCCCGCAAGGTCACGTGTGACTTCGGTTTACGGAGAATCGAGTTGGGGCGTGTAGATAATTCAGGCACGATGTCATGCGGGGCATTTATGGAGTATTTCGGAGTTCCGAGCATTTAATTAGAGAACTTGAATTCCCGTGGGAATAGTAGCAAAATAAGCGAGAAGAAGAGACTTCGGGTGTTCCGTCAGGCCTCGATAAGCGAGTCGAGCATTAACGAAAAGTGCTTTCGAGAAAGCACGAGAAGACGAGAAACCGTTTATGGCATCGATTTATTATTTCGAGTGCCCGATCATTTATTTAGAGAAGCTCGAGTTTGAGGGTGCATATTAGTAAAATAAATGAAAAAAGCCGTTTACGTGGGTCCCGCAAGGTAGACTTTGACTTCGGTTTACCGAAAATCGAGTTGAGGCATGTAGATAATTCAGGCACGATGTCATGTGGGGCATTTATCGAGTATTTTGTAATTCCGAGCATTTAATTAGAGAAACTTGAATTCCCGTGGGAATAGTAGCAAAATAAGCGAGAAGAAGAGACTTCGGGTGTTCCGTTGGGCCTCAAAAAGAAAGTCGAGCATTAACAAAAAGTGCTTTCGAGAAAGCAGGAGAAGAGGAGAAGCCGTTTATGGCATCGATTTATTATTTCGAGGTCCCGATCATTTATTTAGAGAAGCTCGAGTTTGAGGGTGCATATTAGTAAAATAAATAAAAAAGCCATTTACGTGGGTCCCGCAAGGTCACGTGTGACTTCGGTTTACCTAGAATCGAGTTGGGGCGTGTAGATAATTCAGGCACGATGTCATGCGGGGCATTTATCGAGTATTTCGGAGTTCCGAGCATTTAATTAGAGAAACTTGAATTCCCGTTGGAATAGTAGCAAAATAAGCGAGAAGAGAAGACTTCGGGTGTTCCGTCGGGCCTCGATAAGCGAGTCGAGCATTAACAAAAAGTGCTTTCTCGAAAGCACGAGAAGAGGAGAAGTCGTTTATGGCGTCGATTTATTATTTCGAGGTCCCAATCATTTATTTAGAGAAGCTCGAGTTGGAGGGTGCATATTAGTAAAATAAATGAAAAAGCCGTTTACGTGGGTCCCGCAAGGTCACGTGTGACTTCGGTTTACCTAGAATCGAGTTGGTGCGTGTAGATAATTCAGGCACGATGTCATACGGGGCATTTATCGAGTATTTCGGAGTTCCGAGCATTTAATTAGAGAAACTTGATATCCTGTGGGAATAGTAGCAAAATAAGCGAGAAGAGGAGACTTCGGGTGTTCCGTCGGGCCTCGATAAGAGAGTCGAGCATTAACGAAAAGTGCTTTCGAGAAAGCACGAGAAGAGAAGAAGCCGTTATGGCGTCGATTTATTATTTCGAGGTCCCAATCATTTATTTAGAGAAGCTCGAGTTCGAGGGTGCATATTAGTAAAATAAATGAAAAGCCGTTTACGTGGGTCCCGCAAGGTCGCGTGTGACTTCGGTTTACCGAGAATCGAGTTGGGGCGTGTAGATAATTCAGGCACGATGTCATGCGGGGCATTTATCGAGTATTTCGGAGTTCCGAGCATTTAATTAGAGAAACTTGAATTCCCGTGGGAATAGTAGCAAAATAAGCGAGAAGAGGAGATTTCGGGTGTTCCGTCAGTCAAGAGATTTCAAGAATAATTTGGTCATGCAAGCATCATTGAATAGAGGGGTCGTTAGCTACGTATAAGAAAAAACGAAACTTAATTCCGAGTTCAGACGATCCCAAACGAGCTCGAAACATAAAATACATACTAAATATTAATTTTTTTATTAATTTTAAAATATAAAACTTATTATAATAATAGGTTTTATTTATTAATTTTTTTAAAAAACGTATTATAACAATACGTTTTATGTTTTTTAATTTTTTTTTAAAAAATAAAATTAATTATAACACGTATTGTAAGAATACATTTTTTAAATAAAATCTAACTATTAAAAAGTATTCTGAGAATACATGTATTTGATTTTGGGCTACTGATTTTATTTTTTGTTTGATTTTTGTTCATTTTTTTTTTATTTTTTTAAAAAATAAATTACCCAAATGAAAACACGAGAGCAAAAAAATGGCTGGCAGTAGGAGCTAGTAGTATGATGATATCAAATGCAAATCTCTCTTCTGTGATCATCTTTTGAAATACTCGCATTACAGTTCAAATGGGTTATATTTGGTATTTTGAGTTATAGAATGTACTGTTCAAAGGGTGTCAGCAAGGTGCACACATCATTTTGCATACATAAGGCTTTCTACTACCGATCCATAAAGGAATTGGGTTTATATCCTCAAATCTCTTCAATTGTCTTGGAAGACATCTTCTTAGATAGAAAGATGTCTTACCTAAAAAGTAAGAACTCTCTCTTGGAGTCTGCTTGTGAAACGAGACAAGACAATATTTATGTACAAAGATTGGGATAAACATAATATCCTCTTCTTGCGATTTATTATTACTTTGATCATAAGAATGTGGCATGCTTCTTCAAAATTCTTCATACCAAATTACTTGGACAACAATACCTTCACGTCCGACATCCCCTTTACATTGTTTCCAATGAGAAGGATATCGTCTATGTATAGTACAACAAATACCACTACGTTTCCGTCACTTTTTTTTTGTAAATACAGTGCTAATATGAATATTGGTTAAATCAAAACGATTAGATAACTTTGTCAAAATGGATATTCCTAGACCTCAAAGCTTGCTTTTGTTCATAAATTCACAATTTCAACTTGCATACTAGATGCTCTTAGCCTTCTGCAACGAAGTCCTTTTTTGCTGCGCATAGATGTTTTCATCAGGACTCTTGAAAAGTTGTCTTGACATCCATTTGTCAAATCACATAATTCATATGAGTGACAACAACTAAGAGAATCCTGACGAACTTAAGCATGACTACTGGCGGAAAAGTTTCTTCATAATCGAGTATTCTTTCAGAGTATATCCCTGCGTTACAAGTCTAGTTTTGAATGTCTCAACCTTCTCATGTGATCTTCTCTTTTTCTTATAGACCCACATGTATTTAATGGCTCGCACTCTGCTGAGTGGTTCTACAAGATCCCAGACCTGGTCGAAATCCATTGACTCTATTTCAACTTTCATCACACTCTATCAAAACTCTGCGTCTCGATCTTGGAGCGCCTCATCTTATGTTCATGGGTCGACTTCAAGTTCACCCGAGACTAAGGCTGAAGACTCCCATAAACATGTAAACATGAATCGTTTGAACTGCCTGACAACTCTCCCACTACGACGAGGTACTACCTGCATAGGTGCATCGTCGGTGGCACGTGTCGCAGTATTTTTAGGTGTACTGTCAAGTGCACGTTGTATTGAAGACGTACTCGCCACCTTAACTCCTATAGGACATGTCTACTTGTGGGCTTCAGGTCCATCACATAATCATCTTCTAAGAGCCGAACATTCGTCCAAACGATCACTCTCTCATCCTTGAGACTATAGAATAGACCATCCTTCGTTCCCTTGGGACATCTCACAAATAGCCTCATTTATGTATGCAATTCCAACTTATCTGTATCCCTTTTTAGCACCATTTAGCACGTGTACTGGACTACCCCATATACGAATTTGTTTCAAACAAGGCTTGCTCCCGGTAGACAATTCAGTGGGCGTAGACGAGACTGATTTAAAAGGTACCAAGTTTAGAATGTGAGTTTTTGTTTCTAGGGCAAATCTATAAAACGAATCCGGTAACTAGATATAACTCATTCTCTCATCATGGGAGCTTCTTCTCTTTCGATAGAGCCAATTCCGTTCAGCGTTACATTCTTCCTTCAATAGGAGTGAATCCCAGTTATCAGTATATCAGCCCTATTTGGGGGTTCTATTGGGTTAGGGTTTCTCTCCTTGTCTCATTGCTTAGTATTCCAGGCTTTTTTGTATATTTGTTCCTTTTTTGGTCTTTTGCCTTCTTTGTTTCTCTGTTTCAAATTTCCATCTCTCTCA